CATTTATTCCTTGTTATCTAGTTCTGAGGACCCACAGTGAGCTTATCTGTTATTGATAGTTATACTTGCTTACTGGGGATTCAACAGTCCCTCAGGCTGGAGGCAGTGGATTATTTCTGAAAGAGGGCCTGCTAACAGATATTGTTTTATTGTGAATGTTGTTACTTTTGCTCACATTTGCCAAGAGTGATCAGATTTGCTGCCAATACCAGTGTTATTTTGTTATTCTTGACTCAGTTACCTCCTAATCCAATATAACCTTCATTTTTGTTTATACTACTCTGTGTGTGAGTCCATTTTCCAGGTATGATTTAACTGGGTCTCCAGAGTATGGTGGTGTCAGCAGAGGTTGGGCTTTCAACGAGAGGTCCAGATTGACAGGGAACCCCCAAAAAATTACTAGGCAACCCTTAAGGAGGTAGTGCTACACCTATATATAGACATGCTCAGTCCAGCTCGCATTGCCTGAGTAACTTCACAGTTCTCTGTTTGCTTACTACCCATGTATCTTGTGTCTGACTAACCGTGTATCAGTCCCAGCTTCATCTACCATCTGTGCTTGTCTGCTGCCCTTCCTGATTTTGGATTGTCTCCTGGATTTTCTGTTGTCTCTTGCTGTTTGTACTCTGCACACGCGAGTGGTCTCCGCATCCTCAACTGGGTGTACCTGGGGACTGCGACATGGTTCCAGCTTGCTGCAAAGCCATCCCCACGATCAGGGGCCCTGGTAAAGAAGCAGGCTGTGGCATAGACTTCTCTCCCTGGGGAATCCCAAGTTGGTGATCTACAAGGGCTTACTACCACAGATGTTTCATAGTGTTCTTATAAGTGCTTGCCGTAATTTTCATTCACCCAGAGAGGATTAGGTTGTTTTTGGAGTCGAGGCGCAGAACAGAGAACCCAAATTACCAAGCGTCACCTGTAGGGGTAGTGCTACATCAGTTTTTGAAGTCCACTCTATGAGACACTGGGATTTGAAACAATATTCCCTCTCCTATTAACATGACAGCTTCAAAAGTCAAATTTATGCAGTGAAAGATTTATTTTAATAGGAGAGTTTTTACATTTTTACCAGTGAGATTTAAAGCAGAAAATAATCACACAATGGTCTGAAGGTAATCACAGAGCGATCTACATCTACTTCTTCTTTTACTGTTATAAAGCTATCCTCTTCATCATGGTTCTTAAGTGAAAAGCTTTTTGATGCTTAGATAAATCTGTGATGCTGACTTTATAAATCTTTAAGATTTTTGTTCGGGCCTTGGGGGCTTAGCTTAAACAAAGACATCATTTGAAATGATTATTCTTTACACATTTCTGTTAGAAGATAAGAGACCCAGCTGCTTTTGGTGCAGAAGGCTATCAGAGCTGTTCCTGCATCCACAAATAGGACACTAATATAGAATGTATGCCCCTGGGCACCTAAAGTGAGCATGCCCAAAACAACCAAAACACGCATTGAAAAGAAATATCAAATATGCTCCCACAAGGGTATATACTTGAAACCCAACACACAAAAAGGAGCAAGACAGTATACAACTCTCAGAGGTAAAGGAACAGAGATGATTGTCAATAAATCTCAAGGTAATGATCATGAATATAAAGTCCATATAATATAATAAATCAAATCGAGGAAATACATTGTTAAAGTGTAAGCAGTCTCTCCTGTAGGCGAGTTCTGGAGTTTTCCCACCAATGATCATGTAAAACAGAAAACACAGAGAGGGAGAGCGAGAGAGCACCATTGTCTAAGTGTAGTAGTGATAGGAAATCAATAAAAAAAAAAATGAATGATAAGTAGTGCAGTCACATACATGTGGATAAAACACAGTGTATTATTATGTTCAGTAGAGACATCAACAGATGGCAGCTTCTTAAGAATACTCCGGTGGATAAAATGATAAGAAAGAGGAGAGAGAGTGAAAACGCACCTCTCCCAGTGTAGTATTAATAAAAGGCAATTTACAAAAAATTAAGAGATGCACTCACATAGAGATGGTGTAACACAGGCATTCTTTCTACAATTTTGGGACAATGGTAACCTTTTATTTGTGAGTGCTGCTTACAGCTATTATCTATGACAGACTCTAGTGCTTTTGGCATACTGATCCACCTATGACTATCCAGAACTTACTGTCCATTGGAATCCACGATATCATGCCACTGGCTAGATGTTTTTGGTACATTGCCTGTTACTTTACTTACTACTAGATGTGAGTGCAATTTTATCTTTTATCCTTTTATGTAATAAATAATACTACAATAGAGCAGCACTGTCCATTTGGTTTCTGTCTTTTGCACCATAATTTTACATCCACTGATGAGACCATCCACCAGCAGCAGCTCCCTATCCACCCTCTACACATCTCCATTGGGGACCATCAGAAGGACGCCACCTGCTGGATTCTGAGTAGTGCTTGTGTTACACCATCTCTATGTGAGTACATCTTTTAATTTTTTGTACATTCCCTTTTATTAATAGTTCACTGAGAGTGGTGTGTTTCCCCTCCCTCCACTTTCTTATTGTTTTAAACCATTGGAGTATTCTTAAGATTCTGCCATCCGTTGATGTCTCCACCGAACATATTGATACACTGTGTTTTATCTGTGTGTATGTGAGTGCAATACTTATTCTTTTTTTAAATTGATTTTCTTATCACTATTACACTTATATATTGTTGCTCTCTCTTTCCCTCCTGGTTGTCTGTTTTTAAATGCCTAAAACAACCACCTATATTTACCACCTTTTATAGACAGAAATATGGAATGGGCCATTGCTGACCTATTATTAAAAGTGTAAGGAGTGATATACTGTAGATAATATCCTTGTAGCCTGTATTATGTAACATAATAAATATGTAATTATTGGCAGCTCCCATGTATTGATCTCTATGGAAAGCTTTGAAAAAAGACCCTGTCGCACAAGCAATGTACCTCACTTAATTTAGATCTAAACCATAACTAGATGATGACAACTGGCATGCTTTTATTTTTTTCCTTAAGTACTATTTTCATTTTTTTTTTTTTGCATTTTTGCATCTTAGTGCTGCTAAGAGAAGTTCCCTCATCTCGTTTTGGAGACATTACCTCTCACTTAATTTTATGTCTACAGTACAGGACATCAAGGTAATCTCTCCACACAGTTGGTTGTGTGATGGTGGTTTTAACCTTTAAAATTCCTTACTTTTTCCAAACTGAAAAAAGTTTTGGCTATAGATATATTTTGAGTATATTCCACAAACATTCATTTGAGGTTCTGGTCCATGTTGACATGCTTATATTACACAATTTCTGCAAGTTAGTTATAAATTCATGCCGCAAATTGCCGATTCTGCCACATCCCAAAGGCGTTCTATTGGAATCAGATCCATTGACTGGTCTACTATTTGTGTGCCTCAGCAAAAATTACTATTCAACTGACCAGGCTCCTAGTCTTCAGCTGTCCAGTTTTGGTGAATCTGTTACCACTGCAACCTCAGCTTTCTGTTCTTGACATACTGATAGGAGTGGAACCACCTGCTTCAAACCACAGTTGTAAAGAGTTATTATCTGAATTACCACAGCCCTTTTGTCAGTTTGAACAAATCTGGCCTTTCTCCTCTGTTCTCTCTCATCAACAAGGGGTTTATTTGCTATCACAATGATAATCCCTTGATGTTACAGCATAGTGCAGGTGACAGGTTCTCTTTAATAAACCATCAGGGGTCTAGACCACTAATGTCACCTTTGCATTATGTGGATGTTGATCAACCACTGTTGCTACTGTGCTTAATTAGATTTCTTCCTGGCCACAGCAGCTGGGGTTTTACAGCTTTGAGCCTGTAAGTTCACAAAGCTGGATGCCTCTGGGTTCATACTACCCAGAAGAGATCAGCACATTTTTCTGCCATCCTTCCTGACACCCACCATGGAAGTCCCTGGTGCCAGAATCACTTTTGACCCTTTTGTGCCAGAATCACTTTTTACCCTTACATATACTCACTGTACTTACATGTACTCTGTACTTACACTGTACTCAATGTACTTACATGTACTGAAGTGACAATCTTCAGGTGCTACACAGAAAAGAAACATATCTATATAAGTTTATACCTTTTTATCTGCCGCAATCTCTTTTCTACAGCCTTCTAAAACACACAGAGCAAATTATTTTTCCTAGCAACAGCAGACGGGGCAGGGATCTGATGTCACATACAGCACAGACCACAGCGGAGAGATCACTATAACCTGAGACCTGAGTGAAGCAAAAAAGATACCCCCCCCCCCCCGCCCTCTGCACAGAATAATAGGGAAATATGAAAATCAGAGGCTGTCAATCTCCTGCTGTGGGGGGCAGGTTTGGCTTTGTATTTTGTGTTTTTGAGCCAGAGAGTGTCTACACACCCCTGTTAAAATGTCAGGTTTCTGTGATGTTAAAAAAATGAGACAAAGATAAATCATTTCAGAACTTTTTCCACCTTTAAACACTTGCCCTCCAGAGGATTTACCCCCTTTCTGACCAGGCCATTTTTTGCTTGTAACACTGCACCTAAATAAAATGTATGTCCTTTTTTTCCCACAAATACAGCTTTCTTTCGGTGGTATTTGATCGCCTCTGCGTTTTTAATTTTTTTGCGCTATGAAAAAAGACCAATAATGTTGAGAAAAAAACAATATTTTAGAATTTTTGCTATTAAACATGTCCAGTAAAAAAAATTAAAAAATAAAATTTAGACCAAAATGTATTCTGCTACATGTCTTTGCTAATAAAAGTCCCAATATGTGTAAATTAATTGGTTCACGTCAGGGGTCTCCAAACTATGGCCCTCCAGCAGTTGAAGTACTACAAGTCCCATCATGCCTCTGCCTCTGGGAGTCTTGCTTGTGGCCTCATGGGTACTTGCAGTTCCTCAACACCTGGAGGGCATAGTTTGGAGACCCCTGGTTTACGTGAAAGTTATAGCGGCTACTAATGGCGGTATAGATACTGGAAATTTTTTTTTACTATTAATGGCGGCGATCAGCAACTTATAGCGGGACTGTGGGACTGCAGCGGGCATTCTGACACTGGGGGGGAACTGACTAACTGTCACTGACATCCGCAGTGACACCAATACAGTGATCAGTGCTAATAAAAAGCACTGACATTGTACTAATGACACTGGGCAGGAAGGGGTTAACATCTGGGGCAATCAAAGGGTTAACTGTGTGCTGTGTTGTGTTTTACTGTGTGCTGTGTGTGTGCTTTACTGTGTAAGCACATTGCTTTGTATTGCTCTGCTATGCAGAGCAATACAAAGCAATGTGTCGGCTATCATATCACCGATGTATCCCACCGTCGGTGATACGATCACCGGGTGCCAGCGGAGAACCGACAGGTGAGGCTGTCAACCCTACCCGAAAATGAAAAATCACATATATATATACGTGGTTTTGCGCACCCCTGCCACCCCGTAGCATTATTTCTGTTATAGGGCGGTGGGAAAGCGGTTAATGTGACCTATAAACTGTACAACTCAGTTGAACAACAAACTGAAATCTTTTAGGTGGAGGGAAGTAAAAATAAAAAACTAAAATAATATGGTTGCATAATTGTGCACACCCTTAAACTAATGCTTTGTTGAAGCACCTCTTGATTTTATTCCAGCACTCAGTCTTTTTGGGTATGAGTCTATCAGCATGGTACATCTTGACTTGGCAATATTTGCCCACTCTTCCTTGCAAAAACACTCCAAATTTGTCAGATTCTGAGGGCATCTCCTGTGCACAGCCCTCTTCAGATCACCCCACAGATTTTTGATCGGATTCAGGTCTGGGCTCTGGCTGGGCCATTCCAAAACTTTAATCTTCTGGTGTAGCCATTCCCTTGTTGATTTTGATGTATGCTTTTGGCCGTTGTCATGCTCCAAGATGAAGTTCCTCTTCATGTTCAGCTTTCTAGCTGAAGGTTTTGTGCAAATATTGACTGGTATTTTGTACTGTTCATAATCCCCTCTACCTTCACTAAGGCCCCAGTTTCTAGTTGAAGAAACACAGCCCCAAAGCATGATGCTGCCACCACCATGCTTCACTGTGGGTATAGTGTTCTTTTGGTGATGTGCAGTGTTGTTTTTGCGCCAAACATATCTTTTGGAATTATGGCCAAAAAAGTTCAGCCTTGGTTTCATAAGACCATAACACATTTTTCCACATGCTTTTGGGAGACTTCAGATGTGTTTTTGCACAATTTAGCCAGACTTGGATGTTTTTCTTCATAAGAAAAAGCTTCCATCTTTCCACTCTACCCCATAGCCCAGACATATAAAGAATATGGGAGATTGTTGTCACATGTACCACACAGCCAGTACTTGTCAGATATTCCTGCAGCTGCTTTAATGTTGCTGTAGGCCTCTTGCAGCCTCCCAAGCCAGTTTTCTTCTCGTCTTTTCATCAATCTTGGTAATGTCGCTGTTGCGCCATATTTTCCCACTTGATGATGACTGTCTTCACTATGTTCCATGGTATATCTAATGCCTTGGAAATTCTTTTGTACCCTTCTCCTGACTGATACCTTTTAAACAATGAGATCCCTCTGATGCTTTGGAAGCTCTCTGTAGACCATGGCTTTTGCTGTAGGATGCGACTAAGAAAATGTCAGGAAAGACCTAAGAGAAGAGCTGAACTTTATTTGGGGTTAATCAGAGGCACTTTAAATGATGGCAGGTGTGTACTGATTCCTATTTAACATTATTTTTAATGTGATTGCTTAATTATTAACACAGCTACATCCCCAGTTAAAAGAGGGTGTGTTTTACTCCCCCCCCCCTAAAAGATTTCAGTTTGTTTTTCAATTGAGTTGTACAGTTTATAGGTCACATTAAAGGAGGAAACATTTCTGAAAATTATTTATCTTTGTCTCATTTTTTTTATATCACAGAAACCTGACATTTTAACAGGGGTGTGTAGAATTTTATATCCACTGTACCTAATAGGAGACTGGATTGACGTGGTTGGCCTTTCTGGTATCTCCAGCCCAGGCCCCACTAAAGGTGGAACAGATGATGCTGAGAGACAGAAGCAACACGAGTGCCCAGGCCCCACTGAAGGTGGAACAGATAATTCCGAGAGACGGAAGCAGCACAAGTGCTGGCAGGTGTTGATAGAAAAACATGCAGCTGGAGATGCAGGCTCAGAAGGTCAGGCAAGACATCAAGTCAGGGTCTGAAACAGTGCAAGGTGGACCAGCCGAGGTTAAAGGGGTACTTCGCATGAAACACAGGTTCTGGATGAGTAGCTTGCCGGAGCTCCCAGCAGGCTTAAAGCAGGAACACACTGTGATGATTGGAGCTGAAATGAGGGACAACCAGGGAAGCCACTCAGGAGTAACATGGAGCCAAACTGGAGACAGATGCATAGTCAGAGAAAACAGCCAGGGTCAGCAGAGGGCAGACAACGAGATACAGAAGCATTGGCAGGAACGTGGTCAAGAGTAAGCCAAGGTCAAGAACGGATGGGCAGAAGCATAAACAGGATCCAATTTCAGCAATGGGGATAACGCAGGATGCAAGCAAGACACAGGAAAAAATTGAAGACCAGTAAGCACTGAGCATGTATCTTAGCATCCTTTAAATAGGCCATCTGGCGCCAATAGAAACTGTGCACATGCTCCCATGTTAGCATGCATTCCTGTGCGCATGTGCACGTGCATTTCTGTGCATATGCCCTCGCCTGTGCCACCAATCCATGGTGCATGTCTGTGCTCCTGACATCTCACAATAGTTCCCTGGCATTATCCCCCCTTATGGGCAGTCTTCAGATGTTCCCCAGAGCCTTCTTCTTTGGATGAAGCTGGAAGTAAGCTTGCACCAGATAAGGAACATGAACATTTGAGGACAGTTCCCACAAATTCTCTTCTGGGCTGTAGCCGTTACACTTAATAAGGAACTGAGCCTGACCACTTTTAATTCTACAGTTGAGTACAGCTTCTACCTCATATTCCTCATTGCCTTCAATGAGCAGCAGAGCAGGAGTCACTGGATCTCATTCAGAAAGGGGTTTGGCACCATTGGCTTTAATAAAGAAACATGAAACACAGGATGGATTTTCAGATGGGCCCAGCTTCTTTGAGGGACAGCTTAGTTTCAGGTTTGCTGTGGACAGCCAAACTTTATCTCCTGGTTCTAAATTCAAATTCTCTCTCTTATTGTCAAAAAATGTCGTATTACTTGCTGAGCCTTAAAAACGGTGTCGTTTAAGAGATGGTTGTTGGTATTGAGAAAGTTCAATCTATCTTGCACAGCCGGTACAGAAAATTCCAGGGGCACCTCAGGCAAAAAAGAAAGATGATACCCATAATTAGCATAGAAGGGGGGTGGAATTCCTCCAGTCCCATAACCTTAATACAGACCTGAGACTGGGATGTAATCAATGCAGGAGCCTGTGCATTGCACCGACTACACACTTATTGTAGTTGCAATGCTCTGCAGGCTTCAATGCAAAATTAACTCCAGAAAAAAAAAAAATCCTTCCTTGCAATGGGGCTTCTACTCACAGTACAAGCGTTAAATGCTCATGTATGCTTAGGGTACCAGTAAAAAGGACTTTTACTTACCTAACCCCTTACTCCCACTCCCTCCATACTACGTGAATAGGTCCTACTGCCCATTCTCCAAGACACTCCAGCATCATCAAGTACAATGCAGGGCCACTAGCAAGGGACTGCGCAATCCAGAGTGTTATGAAGAATAGGAGAGCACTGGCTGCCAGAGGAGATGAGGATAAAATAAATATAAGTCCTTTTTACTGGTACACTAGGCATAAACATGCATTTAACCCTTGCACTGTTAGGGAAGACCCACTGCAAGAGAGGATTTTTCTTTTCCCCGGAGTTAGCTTTAAATACACATTTTTTAAATTCTATTAAAGTAGGTACATTTATAATATTTTTGCAAAGGTGGTCTATGCCCTTAAAAGTTATTTCTCTCGTTGAAGATATATCAGTGCTATTATTACACATGGCCTCTGTTAAATATATCTGCATTTACAGTCAGAGCTCAAATAGCTTACTGTTCATTCTACACTTTGAGCAGTGCCTCATTCTGCAAATATAGCACTGGCATTCTTGCTATTTCTAACACACATCAAAAGCTACCGTGTTTCCAGTAACAATCCCGTGCAGCGTGGGCCTTGGCGGAATTCTTCTAGACTTCTTTGAAGATCTGACTTCATAAAGCACTTTGGTCACCAGAGGGCGAGCTACGTACAGCCCATTTTGTACAGCAGATTAGTTTAAGTACTAATTATTGCACACAGCAAGCATTGGCCAGGGCATTCGGAAGCTGACATAAGTGATCTCTTTTAGCTTCTTGAAGTAGTAATGCCACTAACTCACTCATCTGAAGCTAAGTCTGAGCAATTGGATTAAACAGACACACAGAGATGACCAATTTGTATTCTGAACATTACAGCTTGTATCCTTGTGAAGGCACATTTAAGCATCAAAGTCTTTTTGCTACAATAAAAGCCACCAGTCCTTGACCATCTCCTGGATCACAATTCTGCTAACAGATTATACTTACTTTTTGACAGAATGGTGATGCTGATATAATTGTATTCTGTTTATATTTAAAATAAATCATTAAATGATAGTAACACAATAAATTAAAGTGTTACTAATCCCAGGACCCTGCATTTACTATATCCGCTCTCCCACTGTACACAGAACATGGAAATGCAATTATTTAGTAAATATAAACTGCTAAATACCTTTTCTCATCAGCAGTTACAACAGTCCTGTGGCTTCTATCTACGTGTCCAGCAGAGAACTGGTTAAAGCTTGTAGGAGGAGTTTTATTTCTGCTCTAGGAGGATGCAAAACCCTTGACCTTTGTCTGGACAGTGCTGATTGGCCCTTTGCTGATGACATGCACTCTCCCAAGAAAAAAAAAAAAAAAACAAAACTCTATAGCAATACACACTAAACTGAGCATGTGCAGAAGGGCTACGGGCAGGGGCGGACTGACCATTTGGTAACTCGGGCACTGCCCGAGGGCCCGGGGTCAGTAGGGGGCCCCATGAGATGCCCCTTGTACCTTTTTCATAGGCTTTTTTGAGTTTGGGCAAGGACACAGGGGCCCCATGATCCTCTATTGCCCGGGGGGCACCATGAGTTGTCAGTCCGCCCCTGGCTACGGGTTCAGTCTGTCTTATCAGCGCATGGACATTTGAACAAGAGAGGAGAGGCAGAGAAGTCAGGATCAAACAGCCTTTTTACAGAATACAAAAGGATTAATCCCTTAGGTTCCACAGTGAGTATAACAAGCATGCTTTACTGCATATGCAGACTGAGCGTACTGTTGTGGGTTTAGTAACACTTTAATGCAGGATTGTAGTATGTATACAAAATGTAAGGATTACACCCTTGT